GTCATTTGCAGATAAAAATGAAAGCATTTTCAGTGTCAGCCTCTCAGTAGGGAAATGGAGCATACAGAAATGAAGAGAAGTAACATATGGAAATGGCAAAGCCCATTTGTTCTGCAGCATGTGTGGATCTGATGAATACTGCGACGAGGTCAAGTAGATCAGGGCAATTGCTCTCTGTCGAACTATACGTTCCGGTCAGTCGATCAGGACCACTATCTCTTTTTCTTCAGCTCTCTCATTAAAGCCAAATCTTTCTTTGAGCTTTGCTATAGGCCCGTTATGTTCTGATGACAGGGAATGTGATACTGAGAGCATATCAAGCCACAGCAGTAATCAGCTCTTCTTGCTACTAGAAAACCAACTGAGAGAGAGAGAGAGAGAGAGAGAGAGAGAGGGAGAAAGAGACTCTAACAACACCCCCTGACCCACAACCGCCCACTTGCAGCAGACAGAGGCCCAGCAGGCAGCTAATTAGCATGTGTTAATGAGTTCCTGTTCCAGGGTGACCCACTCAGCACTGCAGGAAAAGTGTGAAGGTATGGTGTGTCTGCTTCACGGTGCTTGTAGTAAACACAATTACAAACAAGCCGGACATTTGAACTGCAAATCTAGCACATTCAGAGTAGGCCGGGGGTGTCCAAACCTGCTCCTAGAGGGCCACCGCTGTCCTGCAAAATTTAGCTCCAACCCAAATTAAACACACCTGAACCAGCTAATCAAGGTCTCAGGCATACTAAACACTTCCAGCCAGGTGTGTGTTGAGGCATGAGGCTAAACTCTGCAGGACAGAGTTTGGACAACCCTGCAGTAAATGCAATTCGCTGCAGTTAGTTTGCGGCAGTAACAAGCATCTAAAGTAAATGCTCTTCGTTTCCACCCATGTTCAAGCATAAATCTGAGTGTTTGGCTTAGTCTGACCCCAAGTTTTCCCATATTTTGGGCATTAGAGTCTAATGTGATAAAATGTGACCTCACTGCTAAATGCATGCATTGTAAAAAGATTAGCTGGTGACCTAAAATGTGGTAAAATTAACTTTCATTAAAGTCAACATTTTAATATCACCTGAATAACCTGATGAAATTAAGGTTATATGTAAACTAAAATAAAAATAAAACCAAATAAACATTTTTTTAAGGCTCAGATCAGGTAGAAATTTAAGTTCAAGTAACTATTGCAGTTTCACATTTAAAAAATGTAAATCTGTAGAAAAAAAAAACAGAAAGACAAAATGCTTTTGCATTTACACAGATCATCATTTTCCTTCCATTCTGATTGCACTACAATTGCTCCTGCACTGACCTCTAGAGGAAATTTGGAATTTATGTTTGAGATTCCTCAACCATGTTACATGTAGCTGGTTAGTTGATATAAACTGCTTATGAAATGTTGACATGTCTGGTAAGACATAATATACACTTAATCTAAAACTATTTTGAACAGCATCTATAATTCTTTTCTAATTATAATTTTGCATGCAGCTTTTCTGACCTCATATACTGACTATATTTAAAAATTAATTTGTCACACCACAAGATGAATTAAAGTAAATTTAGCAAGTCTAAAGTTTAGTATTCGTATACTAAAATATTTATTTTAAAAAGACATTATGTATCAACAATACATGCACAAGTGACAGAAACCAGAGACCATTCTTTTCATTTTATTTTTAATCATTTTTTTCTTCCCCAGAGCACACAATACTTTTGCTCAGCATCAGGTAGTACAGTTTTCTAAATTCTTTTCCTTTCTTTTTCGCCCATAACTTTAGTACAATATGATAAGGTTTCAACTGGAAGAGGGTTTACACACTTACATAGTGCTTTTATTGCATTGTAAACCAAAAGAAAACCTCAAAAACAAAATAGTGCATTCATATTGATTTCCCTTTATTCTGTGATAGACCTTTATTAATACAAGCCAAGTTTCACCTTCCTCTAGTGTTGCATACAGTAATTTGTGATAGAGAACAACATAATATCTAATAAAATAAACAATTAGCCTTGAAAATATACTTTGGAGACCCAAAGACATAGTTTTTGACTATGTACAAAATTCACCTGGAAGGATATCAATCACATTTTTGATTGGGAAGAGCTCATTGTGCTTTAAAGCCTGTGTCTCTTGCTTGTTGCTTTTCATATTCAGTGATTCACAAATTGACAGAAGATTCAACATGGTCCCAAATAACATTTTTGTTCAATATATGCAAATAATATTGTACATGTACATCTTAAACTAACAGAAAGTCATTTGTTTGTGCATTTATATATAGATGAGGGCAATGAATTTTAATGTGCAATCTGTATACTCAAGCAGATGGTTTGTGATGGTTTATACATTTCTATGCCCATTGCATCTTCCCATTCAGTTTACAGTGCAGTGTAATCCTACAAATGTCTGATCGTTTGTCATGCATAGTCATGATAGGCGCTTCATTGTACAATGGGATTGCATATGCGTGTATGCAAAGAGTAAAATTAGTGAACATTTAAAGTTAAGAGATTGTCTTGCAAATTAAGACATAAGTCATTCTGTTATGTGAGATAAAATTGGTAAATGTCTTAGTTATTGCATGGAAGAACAGCAGCAAGCAAAACTTAACAATTTCAGCATCAGATATGTCAGCAAGATCATCACTTATCATGCATATAAGTGTTGATGGTAAAGATAAAAAAAATATCAGGACTTATTATCAGTGTTTTGAGATTCTCGAAATGCAGAAAAAGAGGATGTTATTAAACAGTGGTGAAAATGTGTTTTGAAGCAATACATCTTACTGTTGCTGTTGGAACAATGGTACGATTATGTACAGTGATAAAAAATGATTAATACAAAATAAAATATTAATATGAATCAAATTATAATTAAACAATAAGTAATACAATAATAATTAAATCATCAAAATAAATAGTCAATAATTCACAAAAGCACATTGCAGCATAAACCATGTTTCACTTCATTACAAATGAAGTTGTTACAAATAAATGTAGTTTGGGTGAAATTTTCTTTTACTTTGCTTAGTTTGTTCATTGTTTCAAGGACGAGAGCATGTCAGCCAACACATCCAGGTTGGTATTAACCAAATTTACTTTGTACCAAAAAGCCATATATAGTTTGATTAGATGTTTATTGTTCTCTTTTTAAAAGTTAAAAAGCCTATTTATTGTGTCATTCTAACTGTGCATGATTAAATGGTTATTTGCAGTATTACGGAGCCCCGCACATGACAGGGAGGAAATAAAATATGTATATCAAGGCCACGAATTAACTATTCATTCCCATAACTTACTAATATGTCAGCATGTTTTACTAATTCAAAACCGAGCATAATACAAAAATAAATGAAAGAAATTTGCTATATTTATATAGTAATACCATATTGAAATATATTCTGAATCTAAAAAATGAAATACTATCAAAGCTATTAGATGTAGCTGAACACCTACACATGTTAGCCTTTCAATTTCATTACCATCCATACAAAGGGAAAACTGAACTGTAATGTAAACATGGACTATGTAACATACTGCCGTGAATTATAAACAGTACAATGCTAACGGTTGTTAGTGTTTTTAGGTCTGTGTTTTATGAGTGACAAAGTGTGTTTATTGGTTGGAAAGCTTTGCAAGTGTTAGTGTTGATTTGAGACATGTATGAAGTGTTTTGGTAGTTTTAGTGCATTTTGAATGTGAAATGAATTATCTTGTGTTCCAAGCTTAAAGTTGGTTAGGAGAACTGCGTGAAGAGTTTTGAAAAAATGACCACAGGATTGAGAAATGTGTAAATAGTGTGCACGACATAATTTGTTCCATCATTTTACTAAATCATGGCCACATTGTACTGATTCGTTCCCTTGTTTTAGTTAAATCAAAACGAGGGAACAAATTAGTTCATCGTGGCCACGATTTACTAAAACGAGGGAACAAATTATGTTGTAATAAGTCATGGAAACAAATTCTTAATGTGTGGCCACGATTTACTACAAAGAGTTAAAGAATTAGTAAATAGTGGCCACAATTTGCTAAAACGAGAGAAGGAATTCTTAATTCGTGGCCACAATATTTCCCCTCCCCCTCCTGCATGTCATGTGCAGGGCTCCATACTATTGATATAATTTAGCTTTTTTTATCACCTGCTGTCCCATCAGAAGAGACCTGTGGCCCATCAGTTGAGAACCACAAAGTAAATAATACTATATTAGGATGTTTAATGCAATACTGAGATCTGAGCAAAAGATGTACAAACATTCATGTGGTCTGCTTTTCATTGATCTGAAAGGGTGATATTCGTGCAATGTGGTTGTAAATACTGATGAGTTACTAGTGGATTTACCCCGGTTGATATAAAATTAAAGATTCCCAGTGGATGCAGTAAAAAGGACACAAGAAAAGGAGAACAGGACATAAAGAAAAGTAAAAACTTTTTCAGTTACAAATAGTCCCAACTGTAATTTGAGAGTTGTGCTACATAAAGCTTATAGGGTTATGAGCTAATAATTTAAATGAAGTGAATTGGGGAAAAGCTACGGTCTTGATAAACCTTAAAAAAACAAATCAAAAGCGATGCAGGAGGTGGAGACATGGTGAGCTGACTGGCAGTTGTGACATGGGGTGCCCTTCTTTGTTAGGGCATGGTATGGATGCTCTGATGCCAGTGCCAGCCTCACCCCGGAGATAAGAGTCAGGCTGGCCGAACCTGGCGGACAGACGGCACCACCCAGGGGTTTGAGGGAAAACCCCTTTTGATCTCAGCGTGGGTCTCAGCAGGGACGTTCAGACCAGTTGAATGTGTGTATACCAGCCAGAGTGTGTGTGTGTTGGCTGAAGACCTGCAGCAGTGGTCCTGAGATGTAAAGGACGACACGTGTGTTAGTGCACGGAAGGGTGTGTGCTGTCACCGCCAGTGAGGCTGGGATTGGTCCACTTCTCCTCTGGCCCTCATTTCATTCTCCATCCCTCCGCTCCTCCTCTTTCTCATCGGGAGGGTTGGGGGGGGGGGGGGGGGGGGGGGGGGGGGGGCAGTTGCTGTGAGCCCCATCTCATTCTGGGGCAGTGAGTGGCTGGCCTTTGAGGAATATTCTGGGGGTCTTTCTGGAATGTTCTGTGTCACTCTATAACAGTCAGAGAGCAGTGGAGAAAGGGATCATTATGGTTATAAACACCCTGGTGACAAGCTTACTGTCACTTGTTATTTAATAGTGCACCAATTTTTTTGTTTGTTGTGCAATACGGCCGTTGTTATACTGATACCTAGGTCATCACGTCAAAGCAGTGCTTCAGTTAATCATTAAATAAAACTAAAATGAAAACTAGTAAAATTACATTACATTATAAATACACTTTAAAAAACACAACAATTAGAAATGTTGTGCAATACGGCCGTTGTTATACTGATACCTAGGTCATCACGTCAAAGCAGTGCTTCAGTTAATCATTAAATAAAACTAAAATGAAAACTAGTAAAATTACATTACATTATAAATACACTTTAAAAAACACAACAATTAGAAATGTTGCATCGGCAACTAATTGAAAAAATAAAATAAGTTAAAGTACTAAAACAACCTATATAGAAATATTCATAAAAAATATTTTTTAAAAGCTAATAAAAATGACAAACTTTAAAATAAAAATATAAAAATAAAAGCTAATTAAAAATAATAATAAATACAAGAACAGTAGAATAAATAATTCTAAATTAAAACTGGTTTCAGATGCCATTGTAGAATTTACATTAATCTATTCCGCTAGTGAAAGTGTCCAAATATAGGGTGGATTAACGAGATATAATGAAGCAAGTAGTAAAAAATAAATAAATAAAATAAAAAGGGAAAAATTCATACAAAATGAAACCACCATTTATTAGTCTGATATAAGACATTATTTTAATTATTTTTCAAACATACTTTTCTTGATGTGTAAAAACTTTTTAATGAAGTAAAAATGAGCATGTGCTTCTTTAAAATGTATTGTTGTTATTATTAATATTATCATTTTAACAATAAAAAAGCTAATGTATGCAAAATAAACCCTGACCGGGAAATACACATTAACGGTACTGATCTTAACTGATGAAAATCGATCCAACACTCACGCTTATTTGTGGTAGTACTCATTCAATTAGCTCCTGCGTCTCTGAGAACTGAAGGTAGAGAATGAGAGAGTGTTTAAGATCAATTAAGCAAGTGAAGTCCATGCAGTTAACATTTGAACACTCACCTGTTGGCTAGAGTTAGCTGAGGGGGGTGTAACTACATTTTGCTCCAGTAGAGGGTTCAGGGGGGCGGCGCCTGGCAGGTGAGTGGCACGCCAGTATATATCTAAATATTCGGCCAGGTGTTCGCAGGCATCCTCTAACTGATTCTCATCCAGTATAACATCAAACATTTCCTAATGCAAGAGCAAAGCAGTGAGGATAAACAGTATGTAAAAGTGCAGGATATTGCTTCTGTTCATTTGTTGCTTCGGTTTAATGTCCGTTAACAGGAGCTGGATGTATGTGCAGTACTGGGACTCACTGGTGGGCACTGTGCTAGTTTATCTCCAGCCATCAATTGCACGTTGAGATGTTTGCTTTGAGATTTCCCTCTGGACTTAATGAGTCTTTGAAGAACCTGAGGTAGAAGGAGTGACAGAAAATGAGGGACAAAAGCGGGAGCAATGCTTCAGGGAATTATATAACTTTTAACCCTGTGGAAAAAATAAGCACACTTTTCAAACACAAAATTAATTAGTCTATTATCAATGTTCAATAGTAAATATACATTCATTTTTCATTTTTATGAAACAGCAAAAGTAACTTTAATCACAACTCTATGTATTTTGTTTGATCATTTTGAGTGGTTTAAAACACTCATTGGTCTTGCTAAAACAATTGGATAATATTTTAATAATAATAATAATATCTAAATAATATAGGGGCCAAATTGCTGGTTATGGTGGAAATGATAGAAGGAAATGGGTCTAAAATCATATAAATCATTTTCAATTTTCAAATAATAATAGTTTATTTTTACTCATGATCATATTTTTATGATAATTTAATTATTAAAAGTAATAATTTGTATTTTTATTATGGATTCTTCATATTTTAAGTATCAGTCTGGGACAGGAAAAAACATAAAAGCACATTCAACAAGCATTAAAAGCACCTGTTGTCATATGATTCCCTGTTATAGTCATGTGATCCTGCCATGTGTTCCCTTGTCTGATGTGTCATGATGTCATTGGTTCATTGTTTAATAATTGTTCACAAGTGTCCCGTGTCTAGTCATTAGTCCTTTTGTATTTAAGCCCTCATGTTTGCCATGTGTCCTTGTCAAGTATTGTTTCACTGTAACCTCTGTGGGTAAGGTCCTGTCCTGTCTTGGCCATGCCTAGCCTTTATGTTTGATCACAGTCTGTAAATAAAATGCATTTGGGTTCTGATTTATTGACCCGTTAAATATTGTTGCACCTTTGGAGAGGACACTTTCACATAGACAATGATGGGAGCGAGAGAGGTCTTGAGAAGCTGTGCGGGATGGTTGATAGTATCAGCATCCAAGATCACCAACTGCAGACTTTTAGCCAGCTCAAATATTCTCTCAATCTCACTCTGCACCTCCGCTGAGAGGGAGAGAGAGCGAGGCAGACATGAGAATAGGGACTACATTAATAATGAAACAACAAATGAGATCCTTCATACTCAAAAATACTTTACCACTCGTAATATTTATGTACTATTTAGCTTTACCCCTGTATGTTTGTCACTCACCCAGACTGGAGCGAGTGTTCGACCTCTCCATGATAGCTTTCTTATTGATAACAGACCTTTTAGCCAGAGACAGATCTGCAGTCACCCGTGTGATAGAAATCCTGCCATGAAAAAAGAAAAACATTCAGAAGACTCGTAATATAGCACACAAGTATGGACCACTTTTATGATACTTTATGGTGCTTTTTTGATATTTTGAAGCTTGACAGCCCCAGTCCCCATTCACTGAATTATATAGTAGAGAGTCACGCGACAAATGTGTAAGGGAGGCAGCACCTGTGTTAAAAACTGGTAGAAAGTGGTCAGCAAAGAAATCTGTTGTAGAGGCAAAGGCTGCCCTTCAAATTGGGGATATCGTGGGACAGGTACAGCATGGAAGAGGGGGTTTTGGACTCAGTTTAGCTCCTCCTAAATGGCACAAGGCAGGCCCAGCTCAAAGGAGGAAGCTGGTAGTCAACGAGGTGCGAAAGCAGGAGGAGAGGATGAGGTGTATAAAGGCCATTTCCCAGGCCAAGCAGGGAGAGTGGATGAGATGCGAGAGTGTGGAACAACGCAAGATGGGCTGGCAAGACCTTTGGTCAATAGAAGAGAGTAGAATCAGTTTCCTTATTAGGTCAACATATGATGTTCTTCCATCACCGCAGAACCTAAACCTCTGGGTAGGAGAGGATCCCTCTTGTCCTTTGTGTTCATCACCTGCCACATCAAGGCACATTTTGACAGGATGTAAGGTGGCTCTAAGCCAAGGTCGGTTTACTTGGCGCCATGACCAAGTACTGCGATGTTTGGCTTTAGCATTGGAAGGCAAGCATAGTATGACCAATAAGTTGCCGCCTGTTCTAGCAAAACATTACACGCAGAAGACAATATTCCTCCGTCCAGACGAGCAACCACCAAGAAAAGGTGTTAACACCAATTCTCGCCCAGGACAACTGGAAGCTGCTGGGGACTGGAAGAGGCTGGCTGATCTTGATCAACGGCTTATTTTTCCACCTGAGATTGCCACCACTAACCTACGACCAGATATTGTTTTGTGGTCTGGATCAGCACGCATTGTTCAACTGATAGAGTTAACAGTGCCATGGGAGGATGCGGTAGATGAGAGGAAGAAACTGCGGTATGCTCATCTGGCCACTGAAGCAGAACAGCGAGGATGGAGAGTCCAGGTTTATCCAGTGGAAGTGGGTTGTCGAGGTTTTGTGGCACACTCTACAACCCGGTTCCTCAGAGACGTCGGATTCAGCGGCCAAGAGTTGCGTCGCACAGTAAAGAACTTATCTGAAGCAGCAGAAAGGAGCAGCAACTGGCTGTGGTTGAGACGGAAACATTCTAGCTGGCTGTGTACACGCCGCCACGCTACGGTTTTGTTGTAGAATTCTTGAAAACTTGAAGAGTCTGTTGGTTTATTTGTATACGTTCCTGTGGATATTGCGTGAATGACGGGTGGTTGGGCAGATATTGTGTTGTGCGGTAGGAGGTATGCCATACGGAACCGTTGCCACTGAAACTGCATATTAACGCACAAGTGGGGCTCGGCAGCCTTAGTCAAACGGGTTGGCGCATATGGTTGGGTTGAGGAGAGATTGTGAGATTGCAACAGGAGGGATGTAGAGGTCAGTAAGCTGGGCTGAGTTGAGTGGGGGACGGAGGGGAGTGACTCTGGGATGCCAGAGTCACTGTCGAGCCCTCTTGAGGTGTCGTGGGCTAGTCGACGAAACACTGAGGACGGAAGGTGCCCACTTGAAGACCCTGGAGATGTCCCCTACTCGGCTCAATCCAGACGGTTGTCGTGCTGGTCCTGTAGTTGCAGCCGTCGCGTGTGCTGACGCGCCAAGTACATTGCAGCCATTAACGCCGGACAGAAGGGGAGTCACACCACCAAATGGAAAGAAGCATAAATGGATGGAGAAGCATAGTTTACTGTAAAGCTACGTCTTAGTTTTGCTTATCTTGGCGAAAGCCGAGTACAAATCAGCATGAAGTTTTAACATCTACTCTCGTGTAATGGAAATCATTTTTTTACATGTATTTAAAGGCACACTATGTAACTTATTCAATACATCATCAATTCCTCCAAAATGTGGGGTTTGTCTTACCCTGATTCACTATGGTAAGCCTATTATAAGTGTTCATATTTTATACCTAAGGGGATGGTTTTCGTGGGAAATTGCGTACATGCGTCACTCGCACGTATGCTCATTCTTGCCCCAGCTACTTTGACATGTGTATGGTGTGGTAGTGGCATAGATTAGTTGAGTGAGAAAACACGAGAAATGAGTGAGAAAACTTGACATGGAACACGCTAAATATTGAACCTCCAATCACCCGTTCTCAGAGGAGAGTCTGCTGGCAAAAAGAGAACATGACAGAGCTCATAGTAAAATGAAAATCAACATTGGCTTGGCTTTTCAGAGATAGTGAGAACTGAGTGATTTGAACTGTTGTAAAGGTGACACGGAGATGGCGTTTGTATTACTCAACAGGTGAGTAAGGTATTTTATTGAACAGATAAATTGCCATATGTAGCTCTCTAACAGATTTGATTGTAAAGCATTATCTATTGTGAAGGATCATTTCATTATAGCTGTTGTTGCGCTGTGCTGGAATTTATTTACAAGGAAATACCTTGTCTATTAATGGGTATAGATACAACACTCTAAAAAATGCTGGGCTGTTTCAACCCAATTTTGGGTCAAATATGGACAAACCCAAACATTGGGTTAAAAAGTTATTTTAAAATGTAACCCAATGGCTGGGTTGGTCCATGTTTGACCCAAAGTTGGGTTGAAACAACCCAGCATTTTTTAGAGATCCTTAGCTTCTCTGGTTATATCTCTTAAGCCTAGTAGTGAATGTTTTATGAGCAGTAGGATAATCTCTCTCTTGTTTTTTAGTTAAGAGAAAGAACCATATTCATCTGCACAGTCATGCAGAGCTGAAGCACAACCACAACAATAATCCTCTTCTGTAAAATGCATACAGTTTTGTTTTTTAAACACTAGAGGGCATAATGTTACATAGTGTACCTTTAAAATGGCCACAAAAATAATGTTTTTCTTCTATATAAGTACGTCAGTCATATTGGTTTTAAACGACATGAGGGTGAGTAAGCGATTTATATCCATTTTTCTAAATTCACATTTTGGGTGAATTGTTCCTTTAAGCTTAGCTCACTCACCTCCCATCAAACCTGTGTTTCAGGAAGTCAAACAAGGCTTTCTGCATCATATCAGTCACCTGTATCAGAGAAGATTGTGAGAAAACAGGCACACCCCAGAAACTTTTCATGTATAATTAACCTGTCAATCTGAGGTAATTCAGGTCTTGAGCTATAAATAGTGTTAACATATAACCAGTGATTTTGTTGTCTAAGGAATCTAGAGGGGAAAATAACTGGGAGCCCTAAACAGGGGATTGTGAAGAATGTAAAAGGCTAATATAGTTTGGATGATGTGGTTTTATTTAGACACAGGTTGAAAAATGAATGACTCCTGAAATAGAGAGTAGAGTCGGCAGGAGAAGCAGGTCCCTGGTGTCTCTGTTAAAGAGCTGACTGACAAATGTGTCCAGAGCTCTGTGCCACAGCTGGACTTAAATATTTCACATTCGTGAATCCTCTCACATACCATCTTACACTGCCTGAGCAGTCATATATAACAGGATCCAAAAGTGAATGATAAGAATTTAAACACCATAATTACCTTCCATGGGCAATGAAACTGTATTTTGCATCATTTTATTGAATATAATTATGTTATATATAGTATTAAATATAAATACAAATACTGACCATAAATATTTTTCATAGGCCATGAAACTGTATTTTGCATTTTTATGAAATTCCAATAAAACTATGATATTAAATGTAAACAATAAAATTATTATTTAAATGTAAATATAAGTATAAACTGCATATATCTTTTTTTCCCATGACAATGTTATTATTTAACGTTTTTTCTTTCATTTGTGACAAACAGTGCAGGTCATTGTGTCACTGGCATATCATATCATATATTAGATAAGTCAATCTCTGCATGAACTTGTTGCAAAATGTGATTTTTGCTAAAATTTAATCTATTAAAACGATTTTCTGTAGTTGAAATAAAGCTGAAATAATATATATATATAGTTAGACGAATAACTTAAACTTTAAAAAGCTTGAAATATAAGTGTATTTTGAACTACTAAAATTAATAAAATTAACTGAAATAAAAATGCATTAAAGATATAAAGAAATATTTAAAATATAGATAAAAAACAAATAATTATGACACGCACTAACTTTTAGGACTATTTCTATTACTAACTAAAATTAAAATTAAAACAAAAATAAAAATCTACTTCAAAATATTAAGAAATACTATAATGTTATATAAATAATACTAAAATAACATTGTTTGTTCTTCATTGTAATTTTGGTGACTTAATATATAATGTCACCACATTGAGGTAAAAGACACACAAGTGAAATGATTGAGTGATGATTTCTTAGTAAATGTTTCACGTCTTTGATTTGATTGTTTCGGGTCACTTACAACAGTGAGTGTCATACTATCATTCTTATATTGCCAGTAACTGTATTAGGAACTGCAACATAACATATGTATTTACCCATTAAACTCAACCCTGCAGAATTTACCTCATAGCCTTTCAGTGAGGGGCCAACCAGAACAACAGGCCTCATGGATGGAACCACATCATAGGGTGGAACGTGCTCAGTCTGCAACACACACACACACACACGCTCTGAATCTTAACTAACATTTCTCGACATCTAATGAGTAGCCTCAAGGGATCCAGTTTCAATAACACAGCATTCAAATATCTTACAGTGAATCGTCAGAGAGGCCAGACACTAACTGCGAATATGCAATACCACTTTTTGAGGGACTGTGTTGCATTATGGAATCAAGGGAGCATCTTTAACCACCTACCTGCTTCTGCTTCTGTTTGGCTTGTTGAAAACAAGAAAAAGGTGTTTAAGAAAATCGGAAATACACTGTTTTTGCGCAAAATGGCAAAATAATTTTAAACTGAAATATTAAATCATGCCGACAGATAAAAGCAGGGTATGCCCTAAGGGGAAATGAGAGTGGCTCAATAGTACTGGCATTAAACAGTAAAACAGTGATGTGTGAGAGTATTTAAATACCTCTCACCTGCAGAAGGAGGAGTAGACCTCCAGCCCCCAGATGAAGCATTCCCTCCCATTTTCCTGTTGACAACATGAACAGTTTAGAAATTATACGATAAGACATGCGGATAGCTGAATGTATGTTATCATACTTTGAACTCAGAATCCCATGTGGCACTTATGAGCTGAGATTTCTTTTTAATAGCAAGCACAACTGCAAATCACAGCATTTGAAGGTAGAAGGGTTTATCTCTCACCTATGGTATAGTTTAGCCTACCAAAAATGAACCGGTACTAATTATCATCATCACTGATGCATGTTGACGAGGGTCATTTCTGTCTTCGTTTCGAACAAGGCAAAATACACAAAAGTCACTGCCGATATTGTTTCTAAAATATACGCTACTCACTATTAACTTGTTTATTTAACTTTTCATGTTGTTTTTGTTTTGTTTTGTTTTAATGCCATGTCAGTTTCTTTAGCTGACACACCAATGCATGCTATCATTCTCCATTCGTTTTATTATAAGCACGTGACGGGATTCAGTTATGTCATCTGTGGCTTTAAATGCTCAAGCTCTTTAAAGCAGCATGGATTCTGATTGGCTGTCAATGTTGTTATCGTTCATCAGCTGGGGAAAAAATCATTGTGAAAGTGATTCCAATGATATCGTCTCTGTGCCATTATCGTTATAGCTATAGTGTGGAGTAGTGTGGCTATTCTTTAATGTTTAGAATGATTTCAAAAACGAACTTTTAAATAATTATCGTCCTTGGTGTGAATGGGTCTATATACAGTATTCAATGATGAGTAGATATAATGAAATGCAATTGTAGTTCAGACCTCTGAGCTGCTTTCTGTTCCTGTTTGATCCGCATGGCCTCCAGTTTAACAGGGCTGGGGATGAAGGCAATATCTGCCCCCTCCTTCACCAGCCTCCCGATCCACCAGTCATTATTATACTTCTGTAGGATGAGAGACAATGTGCTCAATAAAACACTGAAACATTAGCTTACTGATCACTTTAGTTCATTGATCGCTTCCTACCTCTTTTATATGTAGAAAATCTTTGGTTTCAAAGTTGATGGCAGTACCCTGAACCGGACAGTCTTCATCAAGAGCCCCACAGTAGCTGACATTGGTTCTCACTGCAAATGCCACAGGTTTGGTCTACAAAAAAAGGAGAAAACATTAGAAAAGTAACAAAAAACAAAGAGAAGTTAAAGTTATTTAAAGGTGAGGTGTAATTGACTGTGTAACCTTGGCTCTCTCAAGCTGGAGGTGGGCCTGGCGCTCGGCCTCACGCCGAGACGCCTCCTTGTCCTCCTCCAGGGACAGGTCGGAATCCGATGGTCTACTAGTGTAGGAATCAGCTGAACTCTGCAAAAAGGACAAGAGTGCAATGTGAGAAATGCTCTTTCATATTTCATTTTTATAATTACTTTTGTTTACTTTTACTAGTAAATTCACTGTATTCACCTTTGTCAATTATATGATTTCCTTTTATTGCTTTATTTTCAGTTCTATCATGACAATTCTTGGAAGATTTTTAGCATGATAATGGATATGACAATGTTAAAGTATTTGGTCTTGGCGGAATAGATCTGCTGTGCTGCTGCTGCTGATTATTTATATTGTTGTAGATTATTGCTGCCGCAGACCAAGTACAGAGCCTTGGTACTGCCAATACATACACCAATACATGGGCTACTGCTGCTGCAAAAACAGCATATATCAAAATTATCAGTTGCATATCTATATGGGTGGAGTAAACACTCCCCAGCTATTTACATGTTGAGCAGCAAGCTCATTGGCTGCAGGAACCAATCAGCATGTGCCATGTAGTAAACAATGTTAATGTCATCAGGTTGTATTAAGGAATCCTCAGTCTGTGCCATTTAGGCAGTATTGCCAAGTTGTTGCCGCAGGTAGGTTTCCACCACCGTAAGTATGATTTCAGCACTCCAACACCCCCAAAACACCCCCAAATGTACATATTTAGAGGAGAATTCGGCCGCCTGATGGAGAAAATCGCATTGGTCTATTTTTGGGCAACTTTTGACTGGTCATTGATCTACTTTTGTTGCACAGACCTGGCAACCCTGCATTTAGGCCTGATTTCACAGCCAGGGTTTAGATTAAGCCAGGATTAGGCTTTAGTTCATTTAAAACATGAAGGTAGCTTTTATAAACATGCCTTAGAAAAAAAACATTACTGATGTGCATCTTGAGACAAAACAATGGCAGTGACGTATTTTAAGATATGTCAGTTCAAGTTGCTTTCATTTAAAACAGCTCAAACATGCATTTTTAGTCTGGGACTAGGCTTATGCATTGTCTGTGAAACCGGGGACTGGAGTTTCATGACAGAACTTGGTATTTCTATCTGACACACAGCAATTTCTGCTAATGCTTTGACAATACTAAACGTAAAAATATTTGTCATGCCAATAAAGACCTTAAATTGAAATCTAAAAAATTAATAAGACATAGAATTGTCTTTTGACTTCCAGGGGCATTTTACCTTTGTAAAGGGCAACTTAAATGCTTCTAACATGTTGCTATTTATGTCAAATACTTCCATTTAACCAATTACCTTATTCAATCAGAATATAGACTGTTTAATTCAAAGTTGGCATCCATTTATTTACATGACAATTGCATATTGTAAATTGCCACCAAAAAGTATATAAACCAAAAAATTTAAACTTAAGGTAATTATGACAAAAATCGTCATGTCATGTGGTTGAAGAGCGAACCCAAACGCAGACGATATGCAGACTAACAGGGATTTATTGAGGCACAAAACAAAAACCCACGAGGGGGCAAAACAGGACAGATGGGGCAGTACAACTAGACTAAGACAGGAAATAAACTAGGACTAGATACTGACTGATAAAGACAAGATGAAGAAACCACAGCTACATAAACTCACAATTCTTAATACAATATTCAGACTAAGTACTCACAGGACTCTCACAAAGAGTAACACGCACAGGTTGACAATGTACCGACACAGGACAGCAAACACAAGGGGATAATAAAGGGAACACTAATGACAAAGACAGGTGAAGCTGACTAGACAAGGACAGGTGAAACTGACTAGACGAGGAGAACAAGGGGGCGGGGTAACGTAACGAGACAACACAAGCACATGGCTCAAAACACAAGACCATGTGCTTGCACACAAAACAAGGGTCTGTCATGATCCTGCCTTAAGACTAGAGAAATGAAATGACAAGAGGGCAGAATCATGACAGAACCCCCACCTTAAGGAGCGGCTACCAGACGCTCCAAAAGAGGACATCAAACACGAGACATGACAGACTGGGAAACAGACACAAACCAACAAAACATGACAAATAAAAGCAACGGCATACAAGAATATACAATGGGGTTGGGATGCATCAATAAAAATAACAAACAAGGGAGGGGGGGCGGGGGAACAAGAAAGTTCTTGGGGAACTGTCCAGGGTGGGTAGGAGTGCTGGGGGTCTTAGGTCCACGGGATGAGGGCTTGGGACGAGGATTCCGGGCGGACTTGGGTGGGGGCACTCGAGGAGAAGCCATAGGGGAACTAGACTGAGACAGGGTGACACATTGAGTAGCGCTGGGGGAACTTGACTGGGACGGGGAAGGAGACAGCACAGGACAGGAGACAGGGAGAGAAGTAGGCGACTGTGGAACAGAGACGGACAACAACGTGGCTGGCTGCGGAGCCATCACAAAGGGATCTGTGTACCCTGTAGCAGAAACCGAACCAGCGCTCTTCACCTCAGACTCAGATGAAGAGCTCATATCAAACTCGGAAGCGCTCTCCTGTGCAGCACTCTCAGGAGCTGGAGCAGCGAGCTCGGAAACAGCTCTCTCAGAAGTTGGCTCAGGAACTGTTCTCTCAGCACCGGGTGCTGGGACCACCTTCACAGCGGCGGGCTCTGTGACTGCAGCGGGCGGCTCTGTGACCTGCAGCGGGCGGCTCTGTGACCTGCAGCGGGCGGCTCTGTGACCTGCAGCGGGCGGCTCTGTGACCTGCAGCGGGCGGCTCTGTGACCTGCAGCGGGCGGCTCTGTGACCTGCAGCGGGCGGCCCTGTGACCTGCAGCGGGCGGCTCTGTGACCTGCAGCGGGCGGCTCTGTGACCTGCAGCGGGCGGCTCTGTGACCTGCAGCGGGCGGCTCTGTGACCTGCAGCGGGCGGCTCTGTGACCTGCAGCGGGCGGCTCTGTGACCTGCAGCGGGCGGCTCTGTGACCTGCAGCGGGCGGCCCTGTGACCTGCAGCGGGCGGCTCTGTGACCTGCAGCGGGCGGCCCTGTGACTGCAGCGGGCGGCTCTGTGACTGCAGCGGGCGGCTCTGTGACCTGCAGCGGGCGGCCCTGTGACCTGCAGCGGGCGGCTCTGTGACCTGCAGCGGGCGGCCCTGTGACCTGCAGCGGGCGGCTCTGTGACCTGCAGCGGGCGGCTCTGTGACTGCAGCGGGCGGCTCTGTGACTGCAGCGGGCGGCTCTGTGACTGCAGCGGGCGGCTCTGTGATGGCGCTTGAAGAACGGGAGGCTCCCCTCTTCCTCCTCTTTCTCCTAGGTCGAGAAGCAGAGACCATCGCCGGAGCTGAGACGGGTTGGGGAAGCACGGCGGGAACTGTGTCGTGCGAAGGAGGGGTTATCTCTGGCAGGATAGACTCCGACGCTGAGGACTCTGAAGAAGAGTCCCACGAGGTTCACCTCCCTCGTTTCCCTCGAAGACCGAAGGAGGTAGAAGAAGTGCCAGGAGTTGTGAGGGAGCCAGCCTGGTCCCCAAGCGTCACGACGCCTATCATTCGACCCTCGCGAATGATAGGTAGGCGGGCAGAAGGTGAAGACCTCGAGGATGCTGCCTCGGACTCCTCCCGGGAGAAGTGGTCATACAGACGAGAGAAGTTCGACAAGATCCACTCACCCTCGGGTGAGTATGGAAGGGTGACACTCCTCTTGTTGAGGGGAGAAGACAACCAGACTTCTCTAAGGGGGTCCGGATAACGCTTGGCAGGGACGGGCAAACGGTCTGCAGGGTTCGGTTTTGGTCGGTACATTCTGTCATGTGGTTGAGGAGCAAACCCAAACGCAGACAATATGCAGACTAACAGGGATTTATTGAGGCACAAAACAGAAAACAAAAACCCACGAGGGGGGCAAAACAGGACAGATGGGGCAGTACAACTAGACTAAGACAGGAAATAAACTATGACTAGATACTGACTGATAAAGACAAGATGAAGAAAACAAACAGCTACATAAACTCACAATTCTTAATACAATATTCAGACTAAGTACTCACAGGACTCTCACAAAGAGTAACACGCACAGCTTGACAATGTACCGACACAGGACAGCAAACACAAGGGGATAATAAAGGGAACACTAATGACAAAGACAGGTGAAGCTGACTAGACAAGGACAGGTGAAACTGACTAGACAATAATGACGAGACGAGGATAACAAGGGGGCGGGGTAACGTAACGAGACAACACAAGCACATGGCTCAAAACACAAGACCATGTGCTTGCACACAAAACAAGGGTCTGTCATGATCCTGCCTCAAGACTAGAGAAATGAAATGACAAGAGGGCAGAATCATGACACATCATGGACGATTATTGCTCTTGATATGATACCAATAATTATGTTGAATAATAGAATACATAAATGAATTCATAAGCTCAACAGAAACGTGTGGTTGGTTACAATGCTGCAAAAAAGAAAAAGAAATCTGATGCAACGTAAGCAGATCTAAATGTAATGCAACAATCAACACTTTTTATTCATTTACACATTTCCCTTTTAATCACGACAGCCGCATGTTTGCCTAATTTTTGCCCCTAGCCCCCATTCATTTCCGACCCTAGAAGAAATGCACCGAAAACAAAACACCCACTGACCCTAAACAAGTATTGAAATCCTCCATCCCTCTGATTTCCCCTCCAGACCAGCCTTTGTCTTGCTCTCTTTCCCTCCAAAATCCAGAACACAGTGAGGATATGATTTAAATATCAAAGGCAGCCGCAGGGCGCAGGTGTCTGCGACACCTACCGTCGAAAGAGATAAAGCATAATTAAGCAGACACCGGCTAAGATAAGATTCTTATGTGCGATTAAAATATACCTCCCGTCTAAATGAACATGTTAATTAAAAGGCAGCCCTGCTATGGGAGGCATCTCTATCACAAAGCTATCCTGAACCAGCTCTTGGATGATCTATTCTACACCATGTTCATCTCTTTCATGTGTTCAGTTTAGAAATATATTAAAAGAGAGATAGAGGAGGGCTTTGAAGCACAACAGCACACAATATCAAACACATTTTTCTTTCTTTTTGGCCACTTTTATCAACCGGAGGTAACAGTGATGCA